CGTGGGTTCAGATCTAATGGCCGTCGTGGCCGTGGCTAAGTTGGTACGGTGTTTGTCTTTCAACCTCAAGGTTGAGAGTTTGATCACCTCCTTCAGCTAGTCGTAGTGTCCTCGAGCCAGACGCTTAACCCGGCACTGCTTGATCTTTGGGGGCAGCAGTAGCTCAGTCCAACCATCCACCAATTGGATGGTCACCAGTTCAAGTCCCAGTGCTGACCAAATCTGGAAGTTGGTCTGGTAGCTGGAGAGGTGCCAGATCACCTGATGAGCACTGGTGCCCCCTGAGCAAGGCACCAAACCCCCCCCCACCCCACCCTGACATCCCTCCATTAGTGCATGTCCACACAGCCTATGTGTGTGTTGCATGACTTACAGAGTGTAAAAACAGAATTTCCCCTTGTGGGGATCAATAAAGTAAATCTTAATTTAATTTTCACCCATGCTAACAGGTGGGTCTCTAGATTTTGCAATGTTGTTTGATTAATCACTCTACGACTTCGTTCCAGACTGAAATAGTTTCATTATTATTTGATTGGGCACACAGGCAAACATGATCTCAAGGAAAGACCCCTATGGACTTGTTTGAGACCCTGACTCTGTCTCTAGCATCACTATATGAGGTTGACATATTGGTTTTGGAGATTGATATTGCAGCGACTATCGGATCAACTGCCATACCATACTCATGGTCTCTAGAGGATCACATTGAATCATTTTTGATCATCATCTGACTTTTCTGTGGGTGCCACGTGATCCCTTATCAGTAGTCCACTCCAGGGCTATCAGATTCATTAGCCCATACATTATGTGATAGGGGATTGTGGGGGGGTGGCATTTTAGGATTTCTCAAAAACAAACTGAGACACATTTTTTTTTTTTTTTTTGCATTGTGATTGTTTTCCAAATCTCCATCTTGGAGCAGATGCTGAGCACAGAGTGGGAGTCGGGAGATGGAGAGAGACAGGGCAGGGGGGGTAGAATATGGCAAACCAAAATCTTCCTCTCATTCATTTGATGTTCCACTTCTCCTCGGTAATAGACTGATGTCCTTGAGAAGAAGGACGAGTAAAAAAAAAAGCAAGATTTATCAAGAAGAGCTCAAACAGACACAACTTGAAAATCTGCTCTTACTCTTCCTAGCACACATGTAGATTTTAACGGCTGGTGTTTCATCATAAGTTTGATTCTAGGCAGAGGCAGAACCATATGAATTATAGATCAGCTTATTTTCCTGCAGATACTATGTTGTCAGGAGAGAAAGAAACTAAACCAAATCTACTTTAACGTTAACGCTGTTGTAAACAAATAAATCTCTGTCACGTTTTTGAGATCAGAAATAATTAGTGTCGCCTCCAGCTGAATCTATTAACAACCTAACAGCATGGCAAGTTAGTGCAAAACATGGTGTTTAGACTTTGGAGTAACGGATGGCACAATCCAGTTTGTTGATAAACCAAATCCTCACTTCAATGAGAAATCCACTCGGTGCTTCTGCCAGTTCAGCTGCAGGGCTCTGGATCAGCCTGATTACTTTGGGCTGACTGCAGCAGATCAAAGTAATCCCTAAATACTAGAGGAGAACGTACACGGAACAACCTTGTAGTACACCGAGGCACAGCGAGTGACTGCTGTACATTTTTACAGAATTAAGGAAAGGCAATCAAAGTGCACATGTGCATATAAGTGTGTGTTGGTGCATTTGTGATTATAAGCCATCTTGCAAAAGCTGTAGTGTGTGTTTGGGTGTGTATGTCTGCAGAAAAAAGGAGCAAGCTGGGTTTTATAATCAGGATTCAGGGATCACCTTTTGGCCACTGTCATCAGTCAAACCTGTCCTAAAGCTCCCAGACAGAGAGAGATGGAGGGAGGAGGGAGGGAATGAAAGGACAGATGGGGACACAGAGAAGCTAATATCCACTTTTAACACCAGTGCAGCAGTCTGAAAAACAGGAGAAAAAAAGGAAACTCCAAGGGACTGGGCTGGATGATTCCAGAGAATATACTCCATCTTCCACCAAGCAGGACACATATTCTGTAATAAATGGGATTCAGTTGTAGAAAATCTTGATTTTTTTTATCCGCCTGGGAGGAAATTCTGTTTACTGTCTGGAGAAATGATTCTGTTTATCTTTTCAGGACTAAAGACTGAGCCTATGGAAAGATCTTGTTTTTGTCTAAGCAGCAGGAATAGCTCTGGTTTGAGGCATTCTGTCTGTCTGTCCGTCCATCCCATTGTTGTGAACCTGGCATCACAGGAACTCTTGGTGGACATGTTTGAATTTAGCACAAATGCTAAGGCTGCCCTTGGTTGTCAAAGGTCACTGTGACCTCTAAAAAAATGCATTTGCAGGTTAAAACTCAAGAATTAAAATGCACAGTTCACATTATTCATACGCCTGTCTTAATGGAATCACGTTAATGAGCTGATGACTTTTAATTAACCCAAAGGGTCAAATGATCCCATCCTTTATTTGAAGAAATGCCTGCAGGGAATATTTCCAAATTTGATCTAAACACCCTGGACTCACATATTGTCAGATACAATTTTGGTGGTAAAAGGTCAAAGTAAAGGTTACTGTGGCTTTATTTTTTACCTGTTCAAGAGGACTATACTGCTTGCTATCTCAACCCTGCACCCCCCCCATGTATCCTTTTGTTCTGCTTTAGAAAAGAGGTTTTACTGATAAAACTCTGCAGAGACAAAGAGAGAGAGAGAGAGAGAGAGAGAGAGAGAGAGAAAAAATGTTTATCGCTCATGCGACCTCTCCTTTTTTAATTTAGACTTGCTTATGATCTTGATTTTAGAGGTCGTGTATCCTCTGAATATTTCCAATATACAAAATTGTCCTACAATCAGGTCCAATTTAACTGATGGCGTTTCACTGCAACTCCGTAGGATGCACACTTTTAGGTTTTAGGATTAAGATTGGTCTGAATGAAATAAGATGGAGTCTCAACACTGTATACACACTTTGGTTCTTAGTTTAACATGAATTAAAAACGTTAGACTCTTGTCCTGTCGGATCCAGAATGAGATCAATGAGCAACATTTTAATTCAAATAATGGAAAAACTTAATTTATACTGAAACATAAATGTATTGTGGATCTGATGACTTTCTGCTTTTTAAAGTCTACTTTGATATGTATAGGCTTGTGTCTTATATTATGAGTGTGCTCACTTGCAGCATCACGCGTGTGTGAGTATGTGAAGTTCACACAGTGCCAGTTTGTGTACACAGCAGGTCTCATTTCCTCATTCTCCGGTCAGATGCTGGTTTCTCTTTTGAGAGGCGAGCCCACAATGACATCAGCTTCCGCCAACACACCAGCCGTCACCATGGCACCGCACAAAGACATTTCTGGTGTGGAGGGGGGGAAGCATCATGCTTGACACATTTATAGGAGAGGTCTGTGTTGCCCCTCTTCTCTTTTTACCCTCCTCCTTCTTCTCGATTGGTGTTTGTACAGCCGGCCGCTCTGTTTGCCAGATCATCAAAGAGCTCCTCTGACTTCCATTGGCTGTAGTACTCTAAGCCTGGCTGGCTCTCCCTCTCTACCTTTTCTTCCGCTTGCTTTTCCACTAATGGCAACTTCTATCCATTAAGTCTTTTTGAAATCTTTCTCTCTCTACTTTCTATTTTAGAACCCCCCCTCCCTTTGTGTCTCTCTTCTTGTCAAATGGAGCCATGACTCTGAGGGCAAAATGCCTGGTGAAGTAGTGACCACCCACTGAGCTTTGTCTAACTCTTTGCCCCGGCCGACAGACAGTCAGTCTGTGTGTGCGAGTGTGTGTATGTACGAGGGGCAGAATGGACTGAGCAGTGTTGCAGGCAGGGGGAACCTCAATCCAGAAATGTATAAAAGTCTTGGTCAATGTAGGTTAAACAAAATCTCTTGTCCCATGGCTCCTTCTCATTTGAAACAATTGAAAATATCTTGATACATCATGTCTTCTTAACGGCAACCTTCCAGCAGCAATCCATTAAACAATATCTGTCTGGCACATTAACTCCCCCAGGATGTATGATTTGTTCATTGAGCAGCTATTGTTGTTTTTGTATTGTTGTGTCAAGCAACAGCTTACAAACATTTACCTTAACTCAATTTCTCGGGCATATAAATCAACATTGATCATTTTGCACTAACCCCATGTCAAATAATCTAAATAATCATCCTATCAGGGCAAGTCTTAGGTTGAAATGACCACTCTGCAAGAGACAACTAAAATCAGTTTTGGCCTGTTTATTTTGATTGTGATTGTGTTTAAATGATAAACTTTTTTCAGGACTTTTCAAACTTGTAATAAATAGAATACTATATGCCTCAATCAAACATTGTACTGAAATATCACCACATATACTTAGAATGCACTGAATGGTCTCTATAAAAGCATGGAAAGCCCATGGAAAAATAGTAATTATTATTCATTGGCCAAGATGTGTTGTCTTCAGAGAGGTGCATCTCTCCCTTTGCCTCGAGCTTAATGTAATAGAAACTGAAAAATCATCAACTGAAGATGTTTTACTGTTTTCTCTGAGGGCTTCAGGCATTACACATTCATTGAGCAGCAGCTCCTTTGAACATGCAGACTTCATCTGCTTTTATCTAAAAATAGGAACTTATGCCACTTATTTCCAGTGTTCCTGCTCAACCATTCATTGCTCTCTCTCTGCACACTGAAGCGTTTCCGTCTTGTGGCCGGTAAATGAAACGACACCCTCCAAGCTTCCAGATGATGTCATCTCTTGTGACTTTATTGCATCTGAATTTGCAATCAGTAAGACGAAGATGTTGTTACTTCAAATCAAAGGATGGCATTACATTGATGTATCAGACCAGTGTTCTTTATATTGAGCAAAAAAAAAAATCTTCTTCTTGTATTGAAGAGGAAATGTGTATGTGCAACTTGTAATGAGAGTCAACAGAGGACCACCAGAGCGCTGGATTCTAACGTCAAAGACCAGAAACACGTCACCAATCAGTGACCTTAGACACGTAGAACATTTTTAATCTATTATTTTTATTGCAGAGTGCACATTTTACAAAATTGTACATGTATGTATAGCCTAAAACTAAAAATCGTATTCATGGAAGGTTTGTCAGTCTCCTTGAGGGGAGAGATTGGGTGGTGCCCTAGCGCCCTCCAATGACCAGCTGCCACTGCTGTAGCTATAAGGTACTTTTATTCATAAGATCAATGCTAAAAGTGTGTGTCTTTGCTCCCTCCACTCCAACTGCAAAAGCGTCTTTTGTGGTGCAAAATGAGGTGACATCAAACCAGTTTGATGGCGCCCAGAAAGGTGTCCTCCCCGCCCAGCGACACTTTGGCTGTGGAGCGAGGAATCAGCAACTCCAAGTGGTCCCCGGCCTCCAGTTTGACAATACCTGAGGGATGGGTTCAGGTGTTGAGCTGCCATTTTTATTATTTCCTCGCCACAAATAGCTATCACATATACCAAACTAATGACACACACACACACTCTCACACACATGCTTGCTTGGGTGCTTCACTAAACAGGAAACACCCTGACCTGACTGACCTTCTGTAGCAGCTGTTGTAAAAAAGGTTGAACATAGTTGCACATAAAGAATAACACGGGCTTACCTCCTGTGTAGCAGGTGTTAAAGGGGTTGTCTGAACTCATATTCTGGATGCAGCGGAACAGGATCACATACTGAGGCTCGTTTCCAACCACATTCCTCTTCCTTCTGATCACCACATGACCCATTGCAAAATAGTCATCCATGTAGAAGACCTGAGCATATTAAAAAAACACAGAGTGAGATAGATCTACATATGAAGTGTGGCAAAGGATTGGGTTTTATCATTATGTTAACATTTGCTGCTTCATTTATTTACATGTAACATTTACATTTTCATATCTACAGCTGACCTTTCTTCAAGGTCTGTTCACTAACTCCCTGCTTGACTCGAGCCCCCCCACACCCCCTTCAATTCATGTAGACATGCTCTCTTCTTATTTCAAACATGGTGATTTCCAAAAAGGCTAGCAGCGCCCTCTTGTGGATAAAAAGAAAAAACAGACCTACCTGACTGTATACAAAGTAGAAGCCTGCCTCTCTGACTAAAACGCTGTCCCCGTCTACCTCCAGGGCTGATCCTCTCCTCAGCCCAGTCTGCCAGGGGATACCTGTGTGAAGCTCGGCGGTAAATTCTGATTTAAAAAAAAAAAAACAATTCATAAAAAGACATGCCCAAAAATGATACCTTAACAATTGATCCCAACGTTCATTTGGTTTCAAAAGAGCTACTGAAGTTGCTGTAGTTCAGACCAACTGATGGGACTGGAAGAGGATTTCCATGAGTTTGATAAACAGCAGCAGGGCTTTAAACTACTTGAATACTGTTAATTTAAGGAACATGATCACTATTACAGAAAAGTTTCCTGAAAACAAGTTTCAATTAAACTATAAATTTGAACGCGTAAAGAAACAAATTGGTTTTTACCAGTTTACAAATATCATACGGGCTGGCATGCAGACTTGTGTCTATGATCAAATCAGATTTTTACGTTATCTTCAACTTTAAAAAATTACAAAATCTAAAGAAAACAAAGTGACATTTTAAAATGTTTATAGAAACAGCATTAAATCCACTTCAACAAAACTGTAAACTATCATTGCTTGGATGAGGCATACTGTACCTTTGCTGAAGGTTTTCCTGCTATTGTTAGCCATCAACTGCAGGCAAGGCTGAGATACTGTAACAAAAACAAATTACAGGAATGTTAAAACTAAGCTTATTCGATGGATTTGTCTTTCTTTCCCTTTCTCCATTTTTTCTTTTTTTCCTTTTAGGGCGACAATGCCAGCCACCCCAGCAGTATACTGTAAATATTGCGCCCTAGGGGACTGTTTAAAAGCTTCAGCTGATAGCGAGAACATTCACACCACAGTTAATAGTGAGCACTAATAGATGCTTTCAAAGTCTCGCTGAATCACACTTCTTGTTTTTTCAGGTGGTCAGCGCCCAAAGCTGATGAATAACTCACACTTTGCTGTTTCCAATGAAACAGTTTTTCCTGTTCAGAGAAGGCGTGAACATACAAGCCAATGACACGTAGTTCTCTCAGTTTTTGAACTATAAACAATCTTTCCTTGAATTAAGAATAAGGCTGTATATTACAACAATATCTTAACAAGACAATATCAACACTGTTTTTGCATGTGAAGCAGTTAATCCGTAAAACAACACAGCAGTTTTGTCAAACTAAAGGAAGCTGTGTTTTACAGTTTACATAAAAACGGTAAATCATCAGCTTATTGTTCAGCCTACCGTGTGGCTCTCCTCCAGAAACCAGTCTTCTCTTCCTTATCATGGTGGGAGGATGTTGAGACCCGGGTTGGTGTGGTGGTTCTTGGCTGCTTCTCCTGCTGCTGAGTTTTTCAGTCTGGGCAAAAAAACAGGAAAAAAAGATAAGTCGCAAAATGTCTTTTACAATCTTGTGCAGATGGAATGTTTAGTTGTTCAGGAATTCCCTTGTCTTACCTGAGCTCCATGTTTGGACTCCCGTGCCTCCACTCTCCTGCGACAGACCTCTGATCTGAGTTCCTCTACCTCTGCTCGAAGAGACACCAGCTGGTACAGAGACAAAGCTGAAAGAGAGGAGGAGGTGACAGCTGTGAGAGCCAGCAGGAAAACGGGCCAGGACAGCCTCCCTGTACCTGCCTTTTCCTCAGTCTTGGGCTTCACATCTGCCAAAAGTGCCATCGCAGGGTCTGAGCTCACACCAGCAGCATGACTGCTCTCTTTTGAAAGATTTAAAACGAGGAATGTTGTGTTTCCGTCTGCAATGTTTTCTTTAGAGTCTACGGCTTATAGTCTTACAGCAGAGTGGATTCCTAAACTTTCGTTTTAGTTAGTCACCAGACCAGTTTGGTCTGAGGGACTACGCAGAAGGACAGTACAGTACAAAAAGGGCAAAACCGCTTCCCCCTTATGGTTCCTCCTCAGCTCACCACACTCAGTTCCTCCTTGCTACATTTGTCTCAACTTCATCTTAAATTTCTTTGTGTTGAAACTATTTAACACGTGTGTTTGTGACAGTTTGATGAGGGACAGCCTTGTAGTGAAATGGAGGACTGAAGTCCCACTAACACAAAGAAATAGACATGACTTCATAACAGCATTTTGACAGCTAAAAAAACCAACTGTACTCCAAAAAAAACGAAGAAGTGCAAGAATAACTTAAACTTTAGCATACAAGACAAACAGCAAAATATTCCACCAAGACAAGACTTTTTCATGTATCAATTTATTGCATGTTACAGTACAGAAAATAGAAAGTGAAAATGTGTGCTTACAAAAGAAGTCATCCACACCGTTTTGAAGTAGAAAAGAAAAAATTACTCTAAAATGGAACTTCTCTCGAACAGATTGCTTCATACTGAGGGTAGAGGTGACTCATTCTGATGTCTCACTGTACAAATATCCGTTTCCTCGATGAGAATGCACTGTAAAGTCCATGTAGGTGATCACGACAAATGTCAACACTGCAGATTCATTTAATACGTTATCAACATGCCCGCTTAGTCAATGATATTGCAAAGTATACCAACACTTTCAACGGCACTCACTCCACTTTATTCACAATCATATGAACATATAAAATATGCTCCAAAGTGCATCAGCACAATAACCAGGCAAAATGTTGTTTCTTTGTAGAAAAAAAAAGACATTCAGTTTGACTCTGTTTCTTTTCATGAACATGGTTTCGGGCAGTATCAATACGTCTGGTTAGGTTAAAACTCAAAAAACACTACTAATGATTCATTTTGCAGTACGATATTTACTAAAACAAACAAAAATCAGGTGAACGAGGATGAGTTCCAACACCCTTTTCTTCATATCAAAAGATTCAAACTAACAGCAATGGTGTGTCAAACAAAACGTGTGTAACAAAATGAGTGTATATTCACATGGTCTGACTGCAAAATGTGCTCTATTGACATATGACGGGCTGCGAATAATTATGTCAAATGCAGTCTATGGATTTGATATAATACAAAAATGTCTGAAAGTCACAAAAAAAAGGGAAAAAATACTATGTAATATTTCATATAAAGCACACCTGTACGAGGGACCACACTTTACATTCATTGTGGCTTTCAGCCCATTGTTCAAGTTCTTATCGTAATGACACAAACTGATTTGTCTTTGACATTTGTTTCAGCATACTATGCACAAACAGTATTAAATATGGCTAAAGAGATCTGTATTTGAATGGCTTTGATACCACTGCAGTGCAGCATGCTGCATTCGCAAAGCAAGAGCAGACCACGGTGTCATCAGGCTCTGCTCCACCCCCTGGAAGACATGCAGGAAAGGTTAATTAGCTCATTAAAAGCCCTCCAATTGAGTAAAGCCATTTTGCCACACACACATGGTTGAGACTCGACCACAGACTCATCAAATGATCAATTAGAAGAACGCTGATGATACTACCGATTTCATCCAAATGATCTCACACCTTCTTTTTAGATCTGAAATGTAGGTTTCTGATTTTAAGACAATTTTTAAACAGTCTGCTCGAATGGAAGTTTTTGTTGAAAGAGTAATGTGCATCACTCCTGTCTATACTGACCATTGACACATTTCTTCTAGTATGATGAGATAGATCCGGGAAAACCATCTTAATCTTAATTCTTCTTTTATAGTTAGAAGTAAAGGGTTTAAAGAGTCTGTCCATGCCTCTTTTGGGATTAGTCAGTGTTTCGTTAATGTTCTGAGTAGAGAAAAATTAAAACAAAGTGGCAATTTTCTACATGAGCTCTGACTCCTAAAGCCTTATTTGAGCTTCTGCTCAGGTTTGATATACTTTTCTTTTCTAAACTGAACTCTGTATTTCAGTCCCTAATCTTCCCCTGTGGAGTCACATTGAAACAGATCTCTTCAAAGTCAGTACAGACAGTAAGGATTACAGCAAGCCATAACTCTTGCAGTGTACATATGGAGCATGTTTTATAGTTTGTACTGAGACAGACTTGGGGGTAATCTGACACCATCCTTTAATTACAAACGACACACAGATCAATTTTGGATTCTGCAGGAGCCAACAGTGTTCAGCATCAACTTGAGCCAATTTAAAGAGTAAAGACAATCCTATGTGCCAGCTGTGTTTGAACAAAGAAAACGTTACAGGGAGAATATCTTGTAGCTTATCTTGAATCGCATTGAAACAGACATTTTCAAAGGAAATCAAGACTCAAGCGCGTATGTTTCATAAGCAGAGGTTCCTTATCATGACACTGTTCTCTTACTGACCATAAGTTTGTCTGTTGGGGTTCTTGTCCCCTAAAACAGTTCAAGTGTAAAAGCAAATTGTCCAAAGTCCAATTTCCTGACATGCCAAGCTGCTGCAAGTACCTCTGGCTAAAAAAGGAGAGAAATAAAAAAACATTTTGTTTGTCAAAGTATATCAGAAAAACTGACCACTTGAATTAATCGAACAAAAAAGTGCAATGTGTTAAAAAGGTTAATATAAACACAAAGATCTACATGTTATCAGGGTCTCATTTATTTATATCAGAAGTGGTATTTTATTTAAAGTAGTCATTAGATTTCATTAAATTAAAGAAAGCTCCTTATATGTTCATTGTTCTCTGAGCTGTTGTTTCAGTGATTTTATTATGTTTCAGTAGACCAGTAAGAGCCTTTTTTTTTGTAGTTGTGCCATGTCTTGCAGTGTGGGCATGTATGCTCCGGCTTCATTCATAAAATGTCATAAATACATGCATTCATAGCTGCAACACAAAAAGAACCAGTGAGGGCATTGTTACCCTCTCTAAAAATCTTGAAATAGTCAAATCCTTATAACAATATATTACATTTACAGAGAGGTAAAAAGAGTGAAATAAAATAGGAAACCAGATAAAAGCATAAAAAATGTACATTCTTTCCAAAAAAATCATTTGAGTCCATTCCTTTAATTTCTACAACAGCCACCACCTCCCCCCCCCCCCCCACCATATGATGACCTGCTCTTGTCAGTCCCTGACTGTATTTATCAGATGATAGTGACACTAGATGTGGGCTGAGCGCTCTCCTCATGGGCGTGGCTTTTCAGCAGGTCTTTCATGAACTGCTCCAAAGCAGCAAAGTAGCCCTGGCACTGCCACGTGTCGTTGTGTGTGCCCTCTGGAAAGATAGCCAGGCGCTTAGTCCGCGCGGGAGACAGCTCATACAGTTGTTTCATCATGACTGGTGGGATGAGCTGGTCTGACAGGCCAGACACAAACAGTGAGGGCATGCGGCACAGCGCTACCTGCCGGTAGGACAGAAACTGATTCCTGTAGCACCACAATGGCAGTAAGCGCATGGGCAGGAAGGAGAAGAGTGTGGCTGCCATATGGGGGATGCTGAGGAAGGTGTTTTCGACAACAATGGCTGCTACACGGTGAGGGTTGACTGATGCCAAGCGTACAGCAACAGCGCCCCCCAGTGAGCGGCCAAATAGCACCACTTTTGTCTTGTCTAGATCAGGACGGGTCATGACATAGTCCAGTGTCGCCTCTGCGTCTAGGTACAGCCCGTCCTCACTAGGCTCCCCCTCACTCTTTCCATAACCCCGGTAGTCGACTAGCACTACATTGGCTTTCAGATTGACCAGCATCAGCAGGGCGTTCGGCACCCTGTGACCAATATTGCCTGCGTTACCATGGAAATAAAGGATGGTGGGTGGAGAGGAGGAAGTGGGGCTGCTTTGATTGCCAGGGGCCACTCCGGGGGGGTTGTCCCCTCCCGTGTAGCGCAGCAGGATGAGGTTGAGCTTCACACCGTCCTTAGTGCGGATGTAAACATTCTCATGTGGGATTCCTGTTGGCATGGGAACATAAAGGCGAGAGGAGGAGGGCTGATCGGGGAAGTAAAGGAGCACATCCTGGAATTTGTAGAGGATGCCGGCCACAGAGGCTAGGATCAGAGCTAGGAGGAAGAATCCTCCGTACAGGTGGAAGGTGAGGATGAGGGCCAAAAGGGAGACTCGACAAGCACCCCAGGACCAGGAGGCCAGAGTCAGGGTGCACCGCTCCACCGCCCCCCACAGCCTCCAGGGCTTCTCCATGTCTACACGAGATCTGAGTCAGACAGCACAGACTCTGCAAAAATCAGACAGAGTAGTACAAGGGAGAGAAAGGAAAGAGGTTGAATACATATGTGAATGATCAAAGTTACAATAAGGTGATTTAATGATTCTTTCTATAAGCGAACCTGTAGTAACACCAAAAACTTATATCAACGTTCTTTTTGAAATACCTTTAATCTGAAACTGTTGTGTATATACCTGATAAGCAGAGGTGTCAAGTAACGAAGTATTGATTGATTGATTAAATTTATTTCAGACATATCAAATAAAATCACATGTAAATCAATGTACACAATCTATACCTCGTTACTTTACTTAAGTAGAATTTTTGGGTATCTATACTTTACTGGAGTAATTATTTTTCAGCCGACTTTTTACTTCTACTCCTTACATTTTAAAAATCGCCTCGTTACTCCTATTTCATTTCAGCTTGTTTTCATTCTGGCTTGTCATCGTTCAAAAAAACACACAAAAAAAACCTATCCAGATAAATCGCGCCATCCGGATAGAGTGAATTTGATTGTGGTTGGATGAGAAGTATAAACATATACCCTTCTGACACGCTGTGGCGCGGCCTAAGCTTTTGTCCTTAACAGCATTTTTTCCCCCTTTACATTACTTTTACTTTTATACTTTAAGTAGTTTTGAAACCAGTACTTTTACACTTTTACTTGAGTTGATACTTCAACTTCTACAGAAGTCTTTTTAAACCCGAGTATCTATACTTCTACCTGAGTAATGAATGTGAATACTTTTCACACCTCTGCTGATAAATTTGGCCGTTATTTGAAGACTAACTTAACTATCTCAGAAGAGGAGACGTATTTACTCTAAAATAAAGATAGTGAAAGAATTTAATAATAAAAAATAAAAAAACATTTCAGGAACGTGTCATAGCTTAAAAGCAGATATATGCAGTTAGTTAAATCCTGGTTGTATATATTCTCATTCTTAGTTTGGATATTTTTAGTGCTTATTTACTTTGTATTTAATATAATATTGTGTTTTTTGCTCATATTGTGTGATTGGATAACCTGCTGCTGTAACGCCACAATTTCCAAGTTTGGGATCAATAAAGTAATTCTATTGTATTCTATTCTAAAACTTGGTTTAGAGGTTAAACAGCCATGGATAAATAAACGCCTCTTTAACTAAGAAGCCCTTTGTTGGACTGATTCCATCACAACAACCTTTCAGCTAGTGGGGACAGGTCTGTATTTTGATCCCGTCCATCCTACCATCTGACTACAAGCGTTTAACAATTGCAAATTGCGATCAGTCCCAGCTACCGTCCATATCGCTTGTGGAACAGCCTTCCTCCCTCAGTCAGGTCTGCCCCTCTGTGGAATCTTTTAAGTCCCGCCTCAAAACACACTTCTACATGTTGGCCTTTGAGTCCTAGTTAGGTTGCTTATACTTCTATCAAATGTCTTATAATATTATTGTCTAATCATATTGTTAGTATTCTGTTTGCATGAATTAATAATTGGGTTTACAGGCTTTGTATACACAAGTGTATGTTAATGTGTATTATGTAAATTGTACATATCGTAGCCGATATCAAATTGTATATATATATAGATATAGATTATTGTAAACATACTGTACCAAACTGTAAAGATATAAGGATTGTATAAATATATAAAATGTAAATATAGTACATCAAATTGTACAAATAGATATGTATATATAGATATAGATATATGGATTGTATAAATACATAAATTATAAAAAGAATCATAGTATATCAAGTTGTATATATGTATGGAAAATCATTGGATTGTAAATATATTATCATAAATATAGTATATAGATAGATTGTATATATAGAGAGATTATAAGGAACACAGGAAGTTAATTTAATTTAATAAATATTAATTATTGAGCTGTGGAAAAGGATTAAATAAGTTTTATACTTCTTCTTCCTCCTTTTCAGGCATATCAACTGAATATATGTAATTTTATTTTTCTTTCTTTTTCTGTGAAATAATTTGAACATTGTTTTTTGTTTATTGTATTTTTGATATGTTTGATTTTATTTGATATGTCTGAAATACATTTAATCAATCAATCATGTGTGTAGGCAAACTTGTATGTGTGAGTTTTGAGTTGTTATTTTTATTAATTGTTTTAATCTGTATTGCTCTCTTGTTTCATGTTCAACACTTTGGTCTGTTTCTGTTTGTAAATGTGCTTAATAAATAAATGTGATTGATATAATCACCTGTCTGCAGGTCTGTTTCAAGCAGATTGTCCATCTCTCCTTTCTGTACCTACTCTTGATAAGCTGCATGTTGTGTTAGATAACATTAGTGGTCATCAGTTCTTGGTGAACTCACACAAACATCTCTAAATCAGTTATGAGAAGAATAGAAACAGATCAACTAGATGTGTCTCTGATCCCCTCTAATGAAAACACATTAAATACAAGCTGATGTCACGGCTGCAAGATGAAGATGCATTTGCAGATAACACCCCTGATAAACGTGCAGACCCCACCCTCATGACTAAGATGGTGACAGCTGCTACAAACTTGCAGAAGATGCACACAGCTCCGACTTACAGTGGGTTTGACAGTTAGCATCGGACAGCTAACATTAAAACATCAAGCTGTCACACAACAATCTGTTATTACACCACCAACACAAGACATCGACCCAGAGACAAGTGAAACACACAACTTCTAAGTTACTGACTGAAAATACATCCAATCAGTGTTTCATTTAGGTCAGCTAGCTGCAAGTTAGCTGTGTAACAAGAATGCTAACTAACAAGCTAACAAGCTGCAGAGCGTTTTAGCCTCCTATTTTTTTGGCAGGTTTAGCAAAGCTAGCCAGATACTCACCCTTCTCTCATTTTAGCTCCTCATCAGCTTGATATTTTAACAGAATAGAAACACATAGACAGCACGGTGACTGTTATTCAACTCTGTAGACTGTAACTGAATCACAGGTGAGAGTTAACAGGTGACAGCGCAAGGTAGCTGTCAGCAACGAACCCGGCGAAGCTAACTTATGCTACACAGCTGGTTAGCATTACTAGTGCGTCTTTCACAAGTTCCGTGTTGGGCTCAGCGCGAGAAAACAAAGGTTCCGCCCCGAAACCTTCCTCCTCTAATCGTCTTCTTCTTTTATCTAACGAGTCGTGAAATTAACAATGGATGGTTTTCTTTGTCTTGCATTACTGCCATCCTCTGGAATTTTTCAATCTTCACAAGTGAAATATCACACATGTTCTACCAAAATCTGAATAAATATAAAGATATAAAGATAAACTTTATTACTGGTTTGACCATTTTTATCTTCTTTTACTTCTTACTGTTCTTTTATTTAAGCTCTTATCTTAACTCCTCTTGTGTTTTAACTTGGTCATTTTTTATCTTACTTACTTTGTCTATTTATGTTTCATATGTATATTTACTTTTTATTTTTATTAATATTATAGTTTTGGGTTTTTTGATCCTTTAAGCACTTGTTTCTATTTCTTTTCCTGCTCTTTCCTTCTTATTGCTGTTCTCTTTTCATTTGCTTTTATCTCTTTTAGTTTCTTACATCTTTTTAAATCTTTGCTCCTCTTGGTCTCAGCTCGTGTTGTTGGGTTCTTATGATGGTTCTTATGATGGTTCTTGTGATGGTTCTTATGATGGTTCTTGTGATGGTTCTTATGATGGTTCTTGTGATGGTTCTTATGATGGTTCTTGTGATGGTTCTTATGATGGTTCTTATGATGGTTCTTGTGATGGTTCTTGTGATGGTTCTTGTGATGGTTCTTGTGATGGTTCTTATGATGGTTCTTATGATGGTTCTTATGATGGTTCTTGTGATGGTTCTTATGATGGTTCTTGTGATGGTTCTTGTGATGGTTCTTATGATGGTTCTTATGATGGTTCTTGTGATGGTTCTTGTGATGGTTCTTGTGATGGTTCTTATGATGGTTCTTGTGATGGTTCTTGTGATGGTTCTTGTGATGGTTCTTGTGATGGTTCTTATGGTGGTTCTTGTGATGGTTCTTGTGATGGTTCTTGTGATGGTTTTTGTGATGGTTCTTATGATGTTCTTGTGATGGTTCTTGTGATGGTTCTTATGATGGTTCTTGTGATGGTTCTTATGATGGTTCTTGTGATGGTTCTTGTGATGGTTTTTGTGATGGTTCTTATGATGTTCTTGTGATGGTTCTTGTGATGGTTCTTATGATGGTTCTTGTGTTTCTGGGTTCTTATGATGGTTCTTGTGATGGTTCTTATGATGGTTCTTGTGATGGTTCTTATGATGTTCTTGTGATGGTTCTTGTGATGGTTCTTATGATGGTTCTTGTGTTTCTGGGTTCTTGTGATGGTTCTTGTGATGGTTCTTATGATGGTTCTTGTGTTTCTGGGTTCTTATGATGGTTCTTATGATGGTTCTTGTGATGGTTCTTATGATGGTTCTTGTGATGGTTCTTATGATGGTTCTTGTGATGGTTCTTGTGATGGTTCTTGTGATGGTTCTTATGATGTTCTTGTGATGGTTCTTGTGATGGTTCTTATGATGGTTCTTGTGTTTCTGGGTTCTTATGATGGTTCTTGTGATGGTTCTTATGATGGTTCTTGTGATGGTTCTTATGATGTTCTTGTGATGGTTCTTGTGATGGTTCTTATGATGGTTCTTGTGTTTCTGGGTTCTTGTGATGGTTCTTGTGATGGTTCTTATGATGGTTCTTGTGTTTCTGGGTTCTTATGATGGTTCTTATGATGGTTCTTGTGATGGTTCTTATGATGGTTCTTGTGATGGTTCTTATGATGTTCTTGTGATGGTTCTTATGATGGTTCTTGTGATGGTTCTTGTGATGGTTCTTATGATGGTTCTTGTGTTTCTGGGTTCTTATGATGGTTCTTATGATGGTTCTTGTGATGGTTCTTATGATGGTTCTTATGATGGTTCTTATGATGGTTCTTGTGATGGTTCTTATGATGGTTCTTGTGATGGTCTGGTTCTATATGTCTGTTGGGTATCGTGCACTTTGGGTTCTTTTCTGTTGAATTGTATTTAATTATTTTTAGTATTTTACATTTGTTATGTTCTTGTTGTTGTTTATGTTCTTCTGTGTTTGGTTTAGTTTGTCAAAGCATTTTGTAAACCTGTGTTTTTAAAAGGTGCTATAGAAATAAAGTTATTATTATATTATTATTATTATAATATTATTATTATTTATTGATCCCCCATGGGGGACATTTTTTTGTCACAACAGCTCAAGAAACAGGAATATAATTATCAAAAATAACAAGAAGTTAAAAATCAAACATTTGTACATCAGTACATCAAGGGAAGAAAAAATACAATAATAGAATAATACAAGGTATGTACACTTCCACTTGTGGAATTTGGTGATATCTACCCTGTCTCCAGGAGACCTGCAGCTTTTGTTTTGTCAACTATCTCCATGATTTATCAAATTCATGACTCGAGGACTATGTGCTGAAATAAATTGGCAACTCTTTTGATAATAATATAAGAACCAGATCATTAGATTCATTGCCAAACAATCTTTACATGATAACTTGCCTTGACCAGATGCTGTAAACAATTCAGATAAGAAAAATGTGCTCCCTGCTGAGCAAAAATTATCTTTGGATATTTAACAAGAGAACACAAACGATATTTTCTCCATTGAGTACTTTTACTTTGTAAACCGATTTGTATATTTTCATGATTATACTATCATATTATTTCTTATTAAACACTTAAAGTGCAGGACTTTTACTTATAACTGTGGGGAAATCATAACTTTTACTCAACCTAAGGATCTTCCACCTGGACGCATATTTTATTTATAGAAGTATTTATTGCTACAGCAGCAAAGGGCAAGGATAGACAAAAATGTGCACACAGTGTACAATGAAATAGTTGAAGAGCAGTAACGGAGCTGCAGTTGTTACAAAGTCTGAACATTCACAGTTATACAGAGAAAGACAAATAAAAGTGGAACATGTTTGTGCACCAAGTAAGCTCTGTGCATTATTACAAATAAGTATCAGAGGATATTGTAATAAAATGATGGATATTGTAATATTATAATATAGCACGAGTGGTGGGAGTGAATTGCCTCCAGCTTGTGTGTGTGTTTTAACTGTTCCTCTTTGTTAAACAGTCTGACTGCAGCAGGAAGGAAGGACCTGCGGTATCTCTCCTTCACACACTGCCGGTGACACAGCCTGTCACTGAAGGAGCTGCCCAGTGCTTTTACTGTACCATGCAGGGGGGTGGAAATGTTCTCCTTCAGATATGATAGCTCTGCCATCATCCTTGTGTCTCGCACCACCACCACAGGGCCGAGGGGGCCGAGGGGGCCGAGGGGGAAGCCCCAAACAGAGCTAGCTATCTTCACCAGTTAATTTTCTTCCCCTTCTGCAGCCATGATGCTGCTGCTCCACCAGAACAGGAACTCCTCAGGAGTGCTCTGTTAAAGAAAAAAAACTCTCATCCTAACCCATTCATTTAAATAGCTTTGCAATATTTCATATTTGTGAGATACGGAGGGCAGTTTTGGATTAGTAGCCCTTATCAAGTACACTATTTTTGTAAGAAAAAGTGGAGGGAAATCGCCACTGTGTGTGCAGTTTGCTTTATGCCCACCAGATGGTGCTCTTGGAAATGATATAATGAAGATAATTCTCAAAGTACAGGTTGAGGTAACAGGTTCAGAGTGAACTCCAGACATTAGAGCCAAAGGGGTGCTTCTTAAATGTCAACAATGCCATGTTGGTATGTCCAGTAGACTATAGACAGGTGACTGTAGCTTTTATTTATCCACAACATAAAGCCAAGATTGGACTTTTTCTTTAAACTACAGTTTTGATGTCAATATTGGTTTACAAGAATCAGAACTGTCCACAGTAAATTGAACTTCCAAGAAAAGCGGCTCTCAGAAGCCTCTGTTTCCTGAATTATGATCCTTATAAAAGTACATGTTGACAGCCAATATCGACGTGCTGCTGTAATCTCTACTGCGGACTATAAGAAATCCTGTTTTTATGTGTTGGTGGATGAATTGACACATCTCCACCGACACATCACACCTTCCAAAGTGGGTCAAATTGTAGATGTGACAGCAATAACTCTTCATGCTGCTAGCAGTAGGGTGCTGAGCGAAAACGTCAATGAATGAATTGTCCCTCGATGATAAAACAGCGAGGGAAGAAACATGCACATAACGTTCAGCTGAGTTCCTGTTTACTTGCAGATTGACATCATTGGCTCTAAGAATTATTGCATAAGGTCTAGTCATCAAAACGAACAGAGGCAGCTTTACTAAAGCTGTACCCAAGCTTTCATTGACTTTACGATTAAACATACAATCACTTATTAGGAAAATCTGAAAACAACAACACAACATAAGGTGTATGCAGCCAAAGGCTTGTTTAATATTTAATGTGGATGTTTTTCCCTCTTCCTTGGCTTCCTTTTAGTATTTCCGCTTTTTTAACATCTTGCTCACACTCGGTGTGACCTTGGAGGAGACAGACAGATCATGTGCAGGGTAACACAGCTGTTGGCTGTTCAGCTCTGTCCTTGAAGTTGGTTTCATCTAGAGTGTTGAAGGCAATGTCAACACTCTAGATAGACTATGTTTCTAATTTGTGAGATAAAACCTAATATGAAACTGATGTTTAGTCGATATTTGTCAAAAAATGAGTTGCATGCTCAAATACCTGTTAAAACTCTTAAATGCAGAAGATTTAAAGTGTATATGCAGCTAATAATGAACCTGAATACTGCAACTCACATGAAGTTGATGAGACGTTTTGCAGTGCTTTACTTAAAAGGAAGCTGTTATGATGTCACCACATTTATCAGGTGACTATTTATACTGTGTAACTGCATAAACACAAATTATTATTCAACAGAAAGGTGTATGTTTTATCTGCAGTGTTATTGCTCTGAGGAGAATCTACTGAGCAACTTGAAGGATTTTGTATTCAGGAATACCTATTTTGTATTTAGACACTGGAGAAAATCTCCACAGCTGTTTCCCTTTGATAATCACAGCTGATTGCATTTTTATAGT